CCCCTCCCCCACGGGGCCCAGACTTCTCCCCCCCCCACGACTGGGCACAGGGGTTCCCCCCCATGGGGCCCATCCCCCCCCTCCATGGGGCACAGCCCCCACCCCCACAATGGGCACAGGGCCTTCCCCTCCCCCATGGGGCCCATCCCCCCCATGGGGCACAGGGCCTTCCCCCCACACACTTGGGACAAGGCCCCGCCCGCAGGGCCTGGCACTCCCTGCCCCACTCCTGCCGTAGGACATTAGCAGGGCACTGCAGAGCGCATTCTGCCTGACCCAGTCTCCTAGCACCCCAGTGCCCCCTGCTGGGCTCTGTACTGGAACGGGCTCCCAACCCAGGAATGCTGTGGGGCTGGAGCCCGAGGGGCTTTCTTCGTGCCCCACAGGGAGCTCAGTGCTGGCAAATGGTGCCCAGCTGGCAGCCACCAGAGCAAAGAGGGCCCTAGCCACAGAGCAGGTGCAGCCGCACGAGCATCCCATCCTGGCCTACCAATGCCTCCTGCCACTGTCCGTCTGCGGGGCTCGCTGTCCCCTGGGACTCTGCGCTGGAGCAGTGACAAGCTGGAGCAGTGACAAGCTGGAGCAGAGGTTGCCACGTGGGCACCTGTCTCCTAAGAACAAGACTGAGAACCACCCAACTCATTTCACATGGCCCTCAGAGGGGAACATGCGGCACTCAGACCTGGGGGCAGCCCCTTCCCCAAGCCACCAGCCCCTGCCTCCCCCCCATCTTCAGAAGTGCCCTCGACATGTGACTGGGCTGCCCCCAAAGAAGCCAGCCCATGCAGAGCCCTGGACCTGGAGAACAGCCCAGAAAGGACCAGTCTGCTGGGACACTGTCCCCCCATGCCCAGCACCGGCGCTGCTCTGACCCCAGACACTCGGCCTGTCCGTTCTAACCCCATGGGCAAAGCAGGGGGGCTAGGGCAGGCTGAGCTGCTCAGAGCTGACGGCAGGTGACTGGGGGTCTCCCCAGCTGGAATGGCGGGCGCTCCCTGTTTCCATCCTGAAAGCCTGCACACCTGGGCTGTGGGTAAGGGACCGTCTCCACCACGCCGCCCACTGAGAGGAAGGAAGAGGGGGACAGGGCGTCTTCCTCGCACCGCGGCTTCACCAGCAAGAGCAAGGCCGGGGTCATCCTGGTGAAACACTTCTCGTCAGCGCCGAAGAGCAGTTGCTGAGCCTCCAGGGGGGGCAGGAGGGAGCCTGGCAGGGAGCGGAGAGGTTGGAGAAGGGAGAAAGCAACAGGACGCCCCCTCCCACTAAGGGGCTTGGTGCCCTCCCCAGACACCCACCCAGCCCCTGGGGTGGAGCCCACAGTTGTCCTCACGCTACAGCGGGGGATGAAAATGATGGGGCTTTCAAAAGGTCCCCCAGAGCCCCGGATAGAACCCAGGAGTGTGGGCTACCACTGCCCCGCACTAACCCCTAGGCTGTACTGCCTACGCGGATAACCCCTCTGTGTTTGCGTACAGCAGCCAATCAGCGGGAGCTACCTCTGCCATCATGCCTCCCCCCACTGATGCTTGAGACCCCAATGGGCTCCGGGCCCCCCAGCCATCGGAGAACTCTCAGCTGCCCGGGGGCGCCCCCTCGTACCTCCATCACTGGGACGCCTGATTGCCAAGGAAACGTCGAAGCTGAGCTGCCTGTGTGAGCGGATGGCAGACGTCACCGAGGCCCCGAGCAGCAGGTACCGGGTGTCCCTGGAGAGGCAGAGAGCCTGCAGAGAGAGCAGAGCCCCGGGTGAGGCGGGAAGGAGCAGAAGGGGTGGGCGACGGGGGCGACCCTTTGCACACGAACCCGTCCCACCCCATACGGTGGGACAAGAGCTCAGCAGGCCCAGACTGTAGCCAGGGGACCGGCCTCAGAGGCCTACGAAGCTGAGCATGAAGGAATATAAATCGGAGGTAACTGACTGTTAGGGAGCTGAGGGGAACGGCCGTCTGGTCTGGATCTCCCCCTGCCTGCAAACCAGAGGCCTTGCTGGCGACAAAGGCAGCTCTGATTATTTCCTTCAGGGATCTACACACTGACGCAGCATTATAATCTGTTCCTGGCTGTTACAGGCTTCTCAGCACATCCGCTGAGCTGCTCCCAGGGCTGCAGGGATCAGAGAGGGCAGGCAGGGCCATGCCCCCGGGGAACAGGGCGAGGGGGGCTCCATCTCTTCAGCACTGGGAGATGCTGGAAAAGGAAAGGGCCAGAGTCTGGAGCAGTGGCCACGGCATCTTTCCCCCTGCTCCTCCCCTCTCAGGCTGGGAGTGGCGCTTAGTGCTCATGGCCCACTCAGCCCTTGGCCCTTTCACTGTGACTGCCAACAAGGAGCTGACAGGGCTGCCCCGAGCAGGCAGAAAACCCGAGACCCGGCATGCTCACTCCACACCAGCCACAGAACAGCTGGGAGGCAGCTTCCAGCCCCTGCTGACCTGAGATGATTTCACCCTAGTGCTGGAGGGTCGGGGGCGTGCCCCCAACCCTGCCATGCTGGCAACGCTGACACGGAGCCCACCTAGCCCGGGGCTTGGTGGTAAGTTCAGATTTAAAGCAGCAAGGAGCTTCTAAGCTGCCTGGGATTCTCCCTGTGCAGCCGACTGGGTGGCAGATCTCGTCCAGAGGCGCCTGACCAGTGCTCCAGCATGTCCCAAGGGAGATTTGGCTGGACACGTCTGAACGCCATTAGCAGCGTCTGTATTTATTTCCTCTCAGTGGTTCAGCCTCAAACACGCTCCGTTCACGTGTGCAGAGCAGATCTACCCAGCTGGCTGTGCCCTCCCCGGGGGAGCTGAAAGCCAGCAGATGCACACGGCTCACTCTCCTGCAGTGGGATCAGCTGTGACCGCCTCGTTTGCGTCAGCGACGTCAGCAAATCCTGGACGTTCAGGGAGCAGCCGTGCTGAGAGAGAAGGCGGCCAGGGTAGGGGGGTTAATATTCACAGGGGTGGGTCCTGTGAAAAAAGTGAAATGGCAAAGGTGTGCCTGGAGGGGGCACTGCCCCCAGTCACGCCCTTCTGCTGCAGAACTGCTTGGTGGAAAGCACTTGAAAAATCTGGCCGCTTATTTTAGTGCCCACATGGCAGGTGAGCTCTTGGAAATCCAGCCTCATCCTTATTCAACAGCTCTGCCCCATGTGTGTATCGGAGCCCATCCCAATCGGCCCAGCTGTAGAAGACACCAGAGTCTGTTCCTGTTAGCGCTGCAAGGCCAGTCCAGCTCCAGAAGAGGGCACTGGAGTCTAGTCCTTCATGGGCATCACCCATGGAACTGTCCGAGATTCCCCTTGCACGGCCAAATTTAGCCTTGGGTTTCTCCTGTCCCACCCCGTTGGCGCCGAGGGCAGAATCTGGCCCACAGACTCTTAGCGCAGGTGAGAGAGGGAAAGAGTCATTCTCGGGGTACCCCTACACTGCAAATGGCAGCCCGCAGCCGTGAGTCTGAGCCCAATTCTACAGCCGCCAGCGTGCAGGGTTCACGCTCCGAGTCCGGCACGAAAAGCAGTGGCGTAGACGTTGTGACTCAGGCCGGAGCTTGGGCTCTGAAGCCCACTGACCCCCCTGGCTTCAGAGCCTGAACGTCTACACGGCTGCTTTTAGCACCAGAATCCCGTGCTCTGGGACTCGGCCCAGCTAGAGTCCACAGGTGTAACGCCGGCTAACAGCGTGGCTCTGTGCCCCCCTTCAGTGGGGACAACACGTACACACAGTTACGAGTTGGCTTCAGCCAGCAGAACTGGTCCTTTAGCTCATGCATTTAGACAGAGGCGCTAGTTTTATTCCTTACTGATGACCCAGCCAGGGCTGTCGTTACGAGTTCAGTGACCCCGCACGCCCCGTGTGAAGTGAGCACATTTGAGCTGCAATCCCCAACAGCCAATATAGACAGAGCCCCCCGGGGCCATTTTTACAGTCGCCCCTCAGAGTAGAGCCACTCGCAGCTCAGGCAACTTGATGCATTTTTATCAGTGGATTCATATGGAGACAGAGAGCGCAGCAGGCAAGCAGGGTTGGTGCATCTGCCCCTGCTGCCTGGTTACATGGGATGCCTCAGCCGGGGAGCCACCCTTCCCAGGAGTAACCCCGCCTCTCCCTTGCTGGACACAGCCTGGTACGCCCATGCTAGAGAGGTTGGAGCATGGGAGTGCTGGCAGGTGAGTGGCGCTGTCATTTGACTGGGTGATGAATTGGTAGTGAGCAAACCCCCCCACGGAAGCGGAGAGCTCTCTGCCTGCCTCACCAAGGAGCCTGGGAAGTTCTGGCTGCACACAGAGATCCCTGTCCCCTTTGTCTTTCCCACAGTACTCCGTTTGGATCATGGGATAAGAGCGCCACCTACAGGAATACCAGGGACACAGCAAATCTCCACCTACATCAGGGACTCCAAGAGAATCCATGGAGGAGGTGGTGGAGGGATGGGCACCAGTATCATGGCACAAAGTTATGGTGCAAGGTGATCTATGCAACCTAAAGCAACGTGCTTACTTGGTTGGTAGCCTGTGCCAGTCCCAATCCAGCTCCTAGTGTGGGGACCTATGCTGCAAAAAAAACCCATCATGGCCCATGCTCCTTGCTAGCAGCAGAGGGGGCTAAGGATGGACTGGGCCATGGAGACCGAGCCCTGTTAGTGATCTAGGACAAGGCACGTTGGGCGGGGGGAGGGAGGGAGCATGCCCTGCCACTGCTCAGCTGTGCCGGCTCTGCGCATAGCAGTTGGGAACAGATAAAGAAAGCCAGCCTTGGGCAGCTGCTTACCTGCTTCTGGTGCAGCCCTTCTCCTGCTGCCAGGAGCTTCTCTCTTGCTTTGCTGCCCTTCCTTTCCCTGCTTCCAGGATAAAACACCAGCAAGGCAGACTGGAGCTCTCCAAGTGACCGCCCCACGTCCTCTTGAAAAGCCAGCTTAAACCTGAGCTTTGTCTCAGCATCCCACTTCACTGCCAGAGAAAAGCCAACACAAACAGCATGACTCTCACTGGGTAAATGGAAATACCCCGTAGCATGCAGCTAACCTGTGGAACTCCTGGACACAAGATGTCAGAGGCCAAGCATTTCAAGGGACACCAAAAAAAGGATGAGGCAGACCGTGATAATGGCTGAGGAATTCACACTGGCACTAGCTAGAAAACAAAACCATTAGAGTTATAAACCTTCCTGTCGCAGGGCATGAGACAATCGGTAACTGCCAGGGATGAAGAAGAAGTTTCCCCTATAGGCAGGTTATCCTAGATCACCAGCCACTGCTGGGATTATTGCACCTTCCTCTGAAGCAGCTGGTGCCAGGATAATGAGCTGAGTAGATCCCTGTCTGAACTGCCAGTTCCTGGGCTCCTTTGGTGTCAGGGCTGGCACAGGGATCTACCCCAGCCCCGTGTCTGCTGGTGGCATTAGAAGGGATTTGTTCCTGCTGCCCTGCCCACAGCGGGACTTCAGGCCATTTTTGCCCCGCCCTTGTTCCAAGCCAAGATTAGGCCAGCTACCACTTTAACAAACCGCAGCTGTTCCTACACATTGCCCCTGGTTGCCATTTCCCGGGGTCTCTGGATGCCCTCCAATGCGGCACACTCTGTCCAGCCTGCACGTCTCAGTAGCACTAAGGAAAGACTCCAGATCCTCCTGCTTCAAAAGCCCAGACCCTGCCCCTTAGAGCAGTGGTCGCCAAACTGTTTTGATCGCACACCCCTATCAGTAAAAAGATTTTGAGCACGCACCCCCTGCCTCGCCGAAGCAAAAAAGGAAAGACTCCCACCCGAACTGGCAAAGCAAAAAAAAAAAAAAGCACTCCTCCTGCCGCGCACCTCCAAGGATCCTCTTGCGCACCCCCCCTTTGGAGACCACTGCCTTAGAGGGAAGCCATGTTTAGCACCACAGTTCTGATTCCGTCCAACGGAGGGCAGAAGACTCTCCCACACACGCTGCACCCTGAAACCTTCCCCCCTTTTCAAACTCTGACCGCTCTAGTTTCTCCAGGCTCTCACTCCTGCTGTCTGACTTTAAGATAGACCCCTGTGTAAAAACCTTGCCGTTCCTCCTTTGCAGTACATGGCACGAGGACTCTTAAGCAGGCAAATGTGAACGGATCTCCAGAGATGGCTCTCCGCACCCATAGCAGCCTCTGGGGTAAGTGTGTATGCGTGTGGCCTCCTGAAATTGGTCACAGCAGGATGTCTTTCAAAGAGATGGGATACGGCACTTGGAAGACATCACAAATGCATTCTCTGGCAGAAGCTATTCCAGTAACAAGCTGTTCTTAGAGGAGCACGAGACCCCACCATTGATTCCTGTGGGGCTCACCGCTAATTTACGTACAGTATTTAGAAAGCTCCTAGAAAGGAGGCGGCAGGAGAAGCAGTAATGGGGAAGGCACTCAAAGATCTCCAAGCCACAGAGCAAGGTGAATTGCTCATCCTAACGATAATCAGTCCTGGCAAAATGCACATCCTGCCTCAGAAGCTATAGCTTGTTCAGAGGCAGGGACCAGAGGGCTGGAGTGGGAGGGGTGACACCCACATCAGAACAGTCATACTGGTCAGACCAATGGTTCATCTACCCCAGTATCCTGTCTCCCTACAGTGCTGGTGCCAGATGCTTCAGAGGGAGTTTAAGACCAAAAACATGTAGAAACAGCCACTGATTTGGGGCACCTCAGTTGCTGGGTACCAACGTGGGCTAAGTGACTTGTGATGTTGAGTCCAGCCAGGAGCTTGGCTACAGTGGTGATGGGTGTGGTGATCCTGGAGAGATCAGAGTATTAGAAAAGGCATCAGAGCCAAGATTAAATGGAGCGGGTCCTGACTCCCAGGCGTCTGTTCAATCCAGCAAGCCGCACAGCCTCCATAAACCTGGTTTTGCAAGAACGCCTTTAACTTTGCATTAATTAAGTGACATGACTAGTGCTAACTAGCAAATGCAAGTGATAATTCAGCAAAATACGGCTGAATGCTTAGGGGACACCATTGTGCTAGAAGGAGGGGTAAATTTGTTTTCATTAAAAAAAGTACAAAAAATGGTTAACAGCAAAAACTGCCTGGTGTTTCGCAGGCTCTGGGAAGCTTCCCCAGGCCAGAACTCACAGATTACTCAGAGCCATACACAATAAATACAACTGTCCTGGGTTTCTCTCACCAAGTATGCCCAAGATTTCTCTGTCTGAGAACAGTAATACAAAGCTATGCTTCAGGATGAACTGGATAGCTTGAGGCACTGCCGCCCAGGGACAGCACTCTTCAGCTCTGTGTTGCTGGTTCAAATCCAGCCCAAGTCAGAGTTTTCAACAGCTGCTGGGTGCTCAGGGACGCCAGGTAGGTATCCATGGAACAAAACCCAGCTTCTGAGCCGGCCACCACTGTACAGACAGGCTCAGCAGAGAAGCCAGAAAAAATGGACGTGCCTTGGAGACTGAATTCCCTTTTCATCCAGGGACATGATCCCACCCCTGACCTGGAGAAGCAAAGCGAGGGAACACCGACATTGCAGCTGCATATGACTAAACCGATGTCAAGACCTGAAGGGCCCCCATTATGATCATCTAACCTGACCACCCCAAGCCAGCACTAAGTCTTATATATTTAAATATGCTGTTGGCTGGGTGTAAGGGAGTGGGAAGAAAGTTCACCCACTTTAACTAGCATAGTTCTCAGCCAGGTCAAAACCTTGCCCATGCTAGAATGCTGCTGGTAAGAGATCCCTCAGACAGATGTGGCTGCCAGGGTGAACAGGGCCAAAGACAGAACCTCACTGATTTAGGAGAGTCTCAATGTTGCCTTTTCCTCACAGCCCCCCCAGGGTAAGTAGGGGGGCTAAGCCTGGACAGATCCATTCACATTTGCCTGCTTAAGAGTCCTCGTGCCATGTACTGCAAAAGAAGAGCGGCAGGGTTTTTACACAGGCAAACTCACCCTGGCAGCAAGGACTGAGATATGCTTCAAGAACAGGATTGGAGACATTTCGCAGGAGATCAACACTACTGGGGAAAGAACAAGAGTGAATTGTTCTCAGCAATCGGCTCTCTCGAGGATTTTATGCCAGGCCCACCGCTGGGGTATGAAGAGCTCCTATGAACTGGGTCACTGCTAAGAGCAGGCAAAAACATTGTTGCCAGCTTTAGGAACATATCCTCTCTCCCCCCCCCTTTTCTCCAGTAAGAGAGCATGGTCTAAACTGTCCTTTGGATTTTACCGTAAATATTGGAGGAATGAGTGAGATGGCCCTTGAGGGCCAGGAACAAGGGCAGTGGTGGAGTCTATTAACCCAGCAGCACTGGAAGTCACAGCAGAGGATGGGAGGTTGTTAGGGATGGGGGGACACACTCAAGGTGATCACCACAATTCAGATGGTGGCTAAAGACAAATGGGAAGTTTATTGTACTGATTAGGTAATTTCTACTCAGAGTGGGACTCCCCTTCCCTCCCCCATTTCATCTTCTATCAATCCCTCTCTTTGGTGTGCAAAGCAGTATTTGCTGGGTAATACCACGCGTATCAACATGGTATCGGAGCATCTCTCTCAACCCGTCAGTCAGTTCAGGGGTCTCTTAGCACATACCTTCTTCAAGATGCAGCACAAGGAACCTGTTCTCCCCTGGGTCAGCCAAGTGGGCACTGATGTGTTTCAGAGACAGGAGAGCAGAATGGGCCTCCCCAGCAGGACAGATCCCAAAGGTCTCCAGCCGGCCTTGATCCCAGCTTGAACGTCTCACCACTTTGAGGAAATCACTTTCATAGCTGGTAAGGACCCCCACGACTTCCAAGTGGTTCTTGCCCAAGCCGTACCTCCTGCCCATTTTCACCGTGCACACTGGCCCTTCCAGCCCACCAATGGGCCAAGGGGGGAGGCTGGAATCTGACCCCAGAACTGGGAAAACTGCCTCCTCAGGGATGAGCGGAGGGCATTTTGCTCCTTTGGCATCATCTCCTGGCTTGTCACTCTTCAAGAGGAGACGAGTAGCAGTGGTGGCCTTGGGCGTCAATGCCATTAAGTTGAGTTCTGCTCCTTCATATATGCTCCCGTCTTCCTTTTCTCTCCGCTCCTCTCCAAATCCCAACTCCTTTGAAAAGGTTATTTCCAGTTCTTCAGCAGGTGAAAGTCCTCCCTCAACACCTCCTTTTCTTAGCAGAGCAGTTGAGGGGAGGAGCAGCAGCAGGCACTGCAAAGCCATTCCAAGCACGGGCCTCATCTTCCAGCTCCGAGCAGCTCTAAACTCCGAGGCTAGTTACTCGAGTGCATCCCTCGAAACACTTATGTAAGGGGAGGACTGCATCTCCCGTTCAAACAAAGTGACCTTGGGTTGACAATGCACAACACACCTCCCTTGAGAAAAATTCAGAGGCCAATGTGCTATAAAGGAGGGAGGGCCGATTCAAAGGAGTTTTTCTGTTCTATTTTTGGCATTGCATCTAGTGCTTGGAAATGTTATAAAATTAAAGCTGTTTACCTTATTTGTAGGGATGCTTGTCCTTGACTTAAGATGTTTTTAAAGAAGGGTGTGGAGAAAGAAGGCCAGTCCGGCTTGAATCTTCACTGGGATTGGCAGACATTTCTCTTAGGACTTGAAACATCCAGGAGGTCAGAATTGCTTAGACTGGATGGAAGGGGTATAACTGAGAGAAGGTAGGTTTAGACTGATCATCTCTCTACTGGGAAGCTTCCCTTAATTACTGGGAGCACCAGCTCTTCCATTCTGCAGACTGTTTACAGAGGTCACTTCATAAAGATTTGCATTCTATCTCAGAGCTGGAAGGGACCCTGAAAGGTCATTCAGTCCAGCCCCCTGCCTTCACTAGCAGGACCAAATACTGATTTTGCCCCAGATCCCTAGGTGGCCCCCTCAAGGATTGAACTCACAACCCTGGGTTTGGCAGGCCAATGCTCAAACCACTGAGCTATCCCTCCCCCCAGGAGTTCTGGTCCAACTCCTCCCAAAACTCCGTGCTTGGGTCTTAAAATATTTCATTTTGCAGGAGCATCAGGAAGGGGTCTCCCAAGGGAAGTAATGGAAGCCTCAGACCTTGAGACAAAAACTGGACTGGATTAGAGAACATAGGGAACAATCCTGCAATAGCCTGTCCCCACTGGGCCATAACAACTACTGGCAACTTCTCCTTTTTTTTTACCTTCTCTGATACCAAACGGCTCAGGCTGGCCACCACATCTATTCCATGGAAATTTGATGCCCACGGGTTTTTAAAAAGGTAATTGTGTCTTCAAAACCAAGTTCAACACACAGCCAGACCTTTCTGTTGGTCCACAGGTCTGTGTGCAATACTCATGAGCTAGATACAGCACGACGACTCTCAATCTGCAGCAGCGCTGAGACTACGGTCTGGGAATAGACCAAAGGGCTTGTTTGCGGAGTTCTCTTCTACTGAGAGACTCACAAGTGACAGCCTCCAACCCATCTCAGGGTAAGATATTTCAACCTGATAGACACAGATTCAAGCCACAAAGGCTATTAAGATGCAGGTTTCAGGGTACCAGCTGAACACCAGCTCATCTTAAGAGAAATTCCTCTATTGTTCTACAAGTTAAAAATCGCACAATTTTCATTTTAAAACATACATTTGTGGCTTTGTCCACTTCGAAATTCTATTTTACACTGACCTTGCCCATAGCTGTCTGACACAAGCCATGTAAGTTCTCCGACAGAATCACTGTACAGCTTCTGCACTGGAACAGGAGTCCTTGTGGCACCTTAGAGACTAACATTTATTTGAGCATAAGCTTTTGTGGGCTACAGCCCACTTCCGTAGCCCACGAAAGCTTATGCTCAAATAAATGTGTTAGTCTCTAAGGTGCCACAAGGACTCCTGTTCTTTTTGCGGATACAGACTAACACGGCTGCTACTCTGAAACCTTCTGCACTGGGTATACAAGATGCAGCAAAAGAGAGCCCACAGGGCAAAAATCCACTTCTAGCAAAAGTCTGCTGAGACACACATGGCCAGATCCAAACCTAGCAAAACAAGTGCAACTGCACTCAAGTGAACAGGAGCGGAACGGTCTCAGATCAACTCTGAATTTGGACCACACCGTACATGCTCATCAGAAGGCCAGTACAAGTTTAAATTCTGGAGTGGGTGGAACAGCCAGGGGAAAGTCAGCTGTCATGGAATCCCACAAAAGTTTTTTGTGGGTGTGGGTGTGTGTTGGGGGCGGGGGGAGGAGGGAAATGGATGATGATCCTAAGTGCCAATGTAGAGCATGGAACAGTCCCCAAATGCTAGGACTCCCTTGCTAAGCAAAAACAACACTGGGAGAAGTGTTGTGTCATGAGACTGAGCTGATGTTACTTCAAGTACATTTAATTCATGGTTACTTCAGTTATATAGTTGAGATTTCACGTGAATTCTACTTATTTTCCCAATGATTGGATTATAACTTTGAATAGATACCACTAAGGACAGCAAGACTGACAATATTTTCCTATCTACCTATTTTCTTGGGTCCTTTAAGGCTACTAATGGGGAAATACAGACCACATTCTTAATCCAAAGAAACAGACATAGATACAGAAAACAACATAGAAAGCCTTTTAATGAACCTACAGGATTCAGGCAAAGCTATTAGCATATAAAAAGGATAGATTTCCCTCTGAGCAAATAAAGGTTTGTAATTAAACACAAATCAAAAGGAGTCCACTGGGAAAAGAGTCCAGGAGAAGCTTTTCAGTTGGAAGGAGGTGGGGGGGGAATAGTTCCTGGCCCCTCTGTGGGAAGCGGTGGTCTCATCATGGGGGGCAGAGGAGCAGGGGGGTGTACCCCAGGAGCTGGTGGCAGCTGAGGTGGTGCTGGGGGCAGTACAGGTCCAGATGGAGGCATAGGTGGCAAGGTCATGCCGCCTGGAGGAGGAGGTGGTGGCGGCATGGAGTCCGGGAGAGGTGGTCGTGGGGGCAAGCCATTCATCAGTGGGGGCGGTGGAGGCCTCTTCACGGTGGGGGGTCCAGGAGGGATGCTCTGGGGAGCTGGGGGCTTCTCCATTTTGAAATGGAACTGAAGGAAAAACTAGGGCAAAAAAACCAAAAGGGACAGATTCAAGAACCTCACGAGGTGGCTGTCCCGCCATGTTCTCTCCCAGGACCCCAAGAAACAGAGTTAACCATTGAAACATTAGGCTTAATGCTTCCAGCCTTAGGTGTCAGATCACATCACACTCAGCCTCTCCATCCACAGACAACTCCTGGGCTTGCACCAAACAGTCCCACTTCTCATTCTACATACTCCGAAACACCCTCTTTGGATGTTAAATTGATCACTACTCGCTTAGTGATTACTCAGAACCCAATCGCTATTTATGTCACCCCATCCCTGCTGTACTGTGCCCAGCATTCTCACGTATATACTGTGTGGGCACATCACCCCCACAGTCACGGGTGCAAGTTAGTGGCAGTGCACAGTGCTACTATGTATTGGTCCCTTGGTGCTGCCCCTTTAGTAACTCAGCTGGGCCAAGGAAGTTCACGTCACGGGCCAAAGACACATTAGACGAGGGAGACCGAAAATGGAATTTTGAGCACAGGCCCAAGGAAAGAAGAACTCCAGCACACAAGGTCTTTGTGCTCAGGGTCCTTAGGAAACTGGGTAAACGTAATTAATCAGCCAGACCCATCACCAAGCATTCAACCCATACTGGAGATTGGAGTTCGGAACCTGGGCTTGCGAGAGGCTCAGCAGGCCAGCACTGAAGGAACATGAAGTATCAGTACCAGTATACTGGTAACTACCGGCCTCTGCTCCCCCCCTTTCTCTCCCCCCCCCCCATTATCTTTTCACTCCCTCACAAAGAAGTGAGAAATAGGAGTCACCAGCTACCTGTTTGGTTTCTCTGTTCCAGTGGGTCCAAAACTTTCCTTCTGCTTTGTCAATTTCTCTGCTTGGCACCTGTAACAAAAGGAGTAAAGAACTATTATTAGCACCACCAGATTAGCTCCATGCCCCCCCCCCACCCCCTTTTTTTAAGCACTAGAGCTGCAAGATAAACAGAGCTATTCCTGGCTTTTGTGAGATGTGCTAGTATCAGACATTAATAGAGAGGAGGAATTAAGTCACTTTCATATCTGCCAAGGGCAAGTGTATCGACAGAAAACGGCTCCTCCTAACACTTGCAAAAAAGGACTCGGGAGCACCTTTCTGTGCTAGAGGCAGAGAATGCCTCGGCTGCCCAGATGGCCTGGTTTCCATGCTCTCAGCCAGATGCCTCTGTTGATCCCAAAGGGTGGTCCAGGAGTCTATGCTCGCCCTCCTCTTTCAACACTGCCAACCAATCCCCCCATCCACATAGGCTCGCTGGAACAGGTCTACACTGCTCTTTATTCCCCACTGTGAGCCCAACAAATGCAGAAGATGCATGGGGTGGCAGAGAGACCAACATGCAGGAGGTCAGACTAGGTGATCGTGGTGGTCTCTTCTGGCCTTAAAGTCTCTGAGACACATTCTCAATCACTATTAGCCCATAAGCCCTTAAATTGTACCTTGAAAGCAATGGTTTCATAGGGCTCTGCCGCCATCAAAAGGTATTGCCAGCGTCTGTCTGGGGGCTCAATCCTTTGCTCATATGCAGACATGAACCGATGTCTAGGCATGATGGTTTCAGCAATCTCTGGGTAATCTATCTGTGGGGTGATATTGCAGCATGAGATACAGACTCACTCCTCCCTCCTTCTCTCAGCAAAACACTCCCGGCTATAAAGAAAGGCCAATACACATCCTTCAAATGGAGACATTAGTACATTTACTGCTGGTGAAAGGAACCAGCTTGACAGCCTTGGTCGTGGATTCCTCCAGTCACCCAAATGATGGTTACAGCATCATCAGGAGCAGTACCAGCAGTGAGAGTCTCCCTCAGCACCAATGTGCCAAACCGCAGTCCTACAGAGACCATCCCTAGGAACAAGAGGGTTGTTCAGTCTCCAGGGCCCCTTCAGTCCTCAGCCCATGTTAAGTATATTATAACGGCTGGTTTTAATCAGGTGGGAACGTGTCTACCAGGAACTGAGCCAAGACCCACAATGCCAGTCGCTCTTTTCTAATGCAGCCTGCTGGGAACTTCCAGCCGAGCAATTCCTTTACTAGCATCTCTCAGAGGGATGCGAGGTGAACAGTACCTTACCTGGAAGAGGAGGCTCTGTTGGCCCATTTCTGGATCTCTCTGTTTGGTCACTGTAATAGAACAATGAAGGAGTTCAATACAGCAGTGGTTTCAACCTGTGGTCCGCAGACTATGTCTAAGATTTCCAAAGGGGTCCGCACCTCCCTTCAAAATTTTTTAGGGGTGCACTAACGAAAAAAGGTTGAAAACCCCTGCAATACAGCATTGAGGCTGGAGTGACACTAATCCTATTTTAGGAACTGATAATATTGCAAATAGCACCGTTCCAGAGAAACTACAATTGTGCGAACATTCAGAGTTTTCCAGTGTT